ACTGCTGATTTTTCCTTACTGAATCTAAAATCTAACCTATCTCCCTCATTACCGCAGATGTCCATCAATCGCTGCAAATCTTCCTTTTTGTTGGCCATTAGCACTATATCATCTGCGTACATTAAAGCTGGTAGTGCCTGATGAATAAGTTTTTCTTGTTTGACTTAAGAGAGGTTGAAGCCCAGTCCATTTCCCTCTAATTTGGCCTCTAATCCTTGTAGGTACATCATGAATATTAAGGGTGACAGGGGACACCCATGCCTAAGCCCCCGTTTTACCTCTGCAGGCTTGGATACCTGTTTTTCGCACTTTATAACTACCTTGTTACCTTTATAGATATCTTTTAAAAGATTAGTGACTACATGTTCCACGCCTAGTCTGTCAGTATTCCCCACAATTCCTCTTGAACCACGCTATCGTACGCTCCCTTGATATTCAAAAATGCTAGCCACAGGGGCCTGTGTTCCTTTTCTGCTATTTCAATGCACTGCGTCAGTGAGAACAGATTGTCTTCCAACCTCCTGTGTTTCCGAAACCCATTCTGCAGTTCCCCCTGCACCCCCTCATCCTCTATCCATGCCTGCAGTCTTTCCTTTATAATCAGCATCGCCAGCCTGTAGACCACTGATGTCAGTGTTATGGGATGGTAGTTGTTTATGTCTGCTTTGTCCCCCTTTCCTTTATAGATCATGCTCATCCTGCTAAGTTTCCATCCATCGGGAACATCACCATCGATTAATATTTTGCTCACTGCCTCTCTCAAAGCCTGCTTAGACTTCGGACCTATGTCTTTATCAGCATAATTGGAATGCCATCTGGGCCTGTTGATGTACTACTAGGAACCCTTTTCTCAGCCCTTTCCCACTTTCGTTGTGAAAATGGAGCCATTGCACCACTTGATTCGTCCTTGTCTATTGTGGTGCATAAAGTACTTCTTTGTTGAAATTTTTCTGTCACCCTGGTTTTTATATATTCAATAGCTTCGTCCCCTTCTAGCCTAGCACCTTGGGCTGTATTTATAAAACTCTGCTCTAGGCTCGTCTCATTTCTTAGGAAGTTTAGATGGTTCGAAAATTTCGCAGCTGCCTTTCCATCTTTTTTATGTACTTCTGCCAGCCACTGAGCTCCCTTTATTCTAATCTTTTCATTGATCAGAAGGGATTCATCCCTTCTACAGCTTAGAAAGGTTTCCCATTTTCTTTCAACATCATCTGTCGGTTCACCCCGCTGCTTAGCATGTCTGTGTTCCCTAGAGGCTTCCTGACGTTTTGCTATGGCTCTCTCAACTTCCTCATCCCACCAACTTTTGGGGTTGTGTCTTCTTTTCCAGGGTGACTTATCACGCATCGTAGCAAGCTCTAGCTCAAAGAGTGTAATTATATTCGTGTATGTCCACACTGTCTTATTATCCTCCGTGATTACTTTCTCAATTTGTTTAGTGGCTATTTCAATTTGCCTTTTTTGGATAAAAATTTTCCTGTAGTTGCTCATCTTGTCTCCTTCCCACTTTCACTGCTCTTCCAAAACTTAGCTTGATACGTTTGTGATCACTACCCAGACTTCTGGAGCCACCTTCATCTATGTGCATTCCCCTGAGCCTATCATACATCCTATGTGACATCGGTGCATAATCTATCGTCGACTGCAGCCTTCCTACCTCCCATGTTATTGGCCCTTCACACTTCTCGGTACTGTTGCAAATGATCAAATCAAGCCTTTCACACCTATCCATGATCATTTCGCCTGTCGGGTCGGTATACCCATCTATATCTTCTATGTGCGCATTCATGTCTCCTAGTATAATTATCTCGCACTCTCTTCATAACTCCTGAATGTCTATTGATATACACTCTACCATTGTCTGGTTTTCCTTTCTGGCCTTTGCTCCCGTCCACAAGTACACGAAACCAAGGAGTGTCATTTGACCTGCCACTTTCCCTTTTAGCCATAAATGTTCTTTGCACTCTTGCTTGACCCTTTGCCAGACTGTACTTTTATAAATGAATGCCCCAATACCACCCCCCTTTCTGCTGCCTTCTGTTCTATTACGATATTCCCACGCGTAGTCCGGATTGTTCGGAGGTTGTTCCATGTCCCTGAGATGTGTTTCTACAAAACTGTATACCATCGGCCTCACTTCCTTAGCTGTTCTTCTATCAGTTCCCACTTCAGCCTGTTCTTACCAGCCTGCATGTTAATATACCCTATGTCTGAATTGGCTCGGCGCTCGTGGCTACGTCTATTTATGCCCCGGACTCTACCTATCTTAGATATCGGTGCCACTTTGGAATCGTATCTGTCCATACCACCTGCCGAAGAGTCTCCCTGGTTGTTTTCCTCGTTACTAGCTATCTTGCACCCCGACGGGCTCGCTTGCCCCCCAAAAAAGCTACTGCGCGTCCTGCAAGTCGCCAACCCACCACATGACCTAGCCGCCCATCGAAGTGAATTCTGTCTCGCTGAAAACCACCCCACCTATGCACCTCTCTGTTTATTTCCACCACCTCAAAGCCTTTCTCTCGACTCATCCGCCATATCTCTTGGTTTGCCTTGAAAACCGCTCTTTGCAGGTTGCTATCACGCACCGGTACCTTCGGTATCGTGCATATAACTACCTGTACCTGAAGAGAAGTGGCGCGCATGTCATCGACGCCTTTCGCCAGTGTGGTTGCTAGTCCTGCTGTATCTTCATTTAACACAACGTTTAAACCGCCTGAAATTATCACGAGGTTTCGTCTATCAGCTGTAGTTTTGAGTTTTGCGCTCGCTTGCCTCATGACTGCTTCAAGCTTGCGTCCTGAGAACGCCCCTACTGCAACCCTCTTGTCACCTCTTACCCTCTAGTCTTGGTCGCGAGTGCCACTGCGCGGCGCTTGTTCAAAACTGAAGGCAGGCCAACTCCGCTGGGAGCGCGAGCCATTCCCCAGGCATTATTTAAAGCATAGAGTTTCTCAAAATTAACTCGAGGCACGGAGGAAGGAAAAAGGTAAGGAGAGGGCATGCCCAGCCGGCGCAGGGCGTAAAAAATGTGGCGGAAATGACATCATGGCGGCCATATTCAATAGGCACAATGGCGGCGTTGTTATGGTTACGTGTTGCGCAGTGAAGCTGGTCTAGCAGTGAGCGGCCGCGGCTGGCGGCGGAATGTGTGCCCCAGGTCTCGTGCTGAGCCGTGGCGGACAATATCTGTGCTCTGCGCCGCGTTATTGGTTACGCAGTGTTCGTCTGGCTGTTACATTACTCTTAGCAACGTTTACAAATCTCTTTGTCCATCACGGGGTTTCAACTGTGCGTAGAACAAGTGCATATCTATGTGTCGTGCGGCGGATGACGCGGATGAAGCAGTTAGTGTTCAGCGAAATGGCGTTGGGCACCATGACGAAGCTGAATGACGACGAACGCCTTGCAGGTCAGTGACGGTTGAGCAGTGCTCCTGCTTGTGACAACAAACGACGCTGTTGAGCCCAGCAAGACGCCGTGAGGACCATGTGCACATACGTAGTTTCGTGTTGTGTGTGTACAGTAACAACTTGCATGTGCGTATTAAAACACCTTTTCTGTTCCGCTTGGTACACTCTCCACCAGCATTGCATGTAATCTCAACGTAACAGCAACCACGTTCAACTGTCACTAGCACCGTGCTCAAAGTCACCACGGTCGCAGAATGCTGACGCAGGTGAGTTTACACGGAACACGGACACAGTGGCAGGACGCTGCGTCAGTCGCGTGGCGGAATGCAACCGTAGAAGGCGCACGACCGATCGTGTTGTCTGTACAGTTGCTGAATTAATGACGTGAAAGCACTCGCCGTTGTCAGTGCATCTAGCGCGCGTTCTTTCGTAGTTGCTTCGTTGTCAGCGAGCTGTTACTCTTTGTTATTACTCAGACGAAGCGATTTCGCTGAAGGTGTCCCGCTGGCTCTGAGTGATGAGCCCAGTTCCATTAGTTTCGGATCGTCACGACACACGCGCTCCGCAGCCCACGTGCTTTCCGAGCCGGAGAGGGAGTCGCGCCTTCTGCTTCGCATTCATATGTAAACAAGAGAGGAGAATTTGCCTACTCAATATGGCCGACTTCCGGCTTCATCGCGGCTTCACAACGAGTGACGTCAGGGCCTCTCCTTACCTTTTCCTTCCTCCGTGACTCGAAGGCACTCTGGCGCTGCGATCGTTCAGCGACCATGGGAATGATGGGTAGTAGCATGTAGTAGTAGTACACACATTTGCCTACTCTTCGTACTTGCGAGCGGCGAATCGTACTTGCGGCTTTGTTTATTACTGCTAACGGTTTTCTTTTGAAAGAAAAAAAAACAACAAACCCTTTTGAACTTCGGGACTTGAATCGAAATAGTAAGCTTAAATAACTAAAGTTGTGAAGCGCAAACGGTGAACATTTGCTAATTTATGTTTTCGTGAAAAAACAGCTTCAAGCCACACGAACACACACGGACACACACGGAGCCAGAAGCAGGCCAGAAGTACGAAAATTAGACAAATGTGTGTACTACCATACAGTGTACTAGAAGGGTACACTGTAACTACCAACACGGAGGAAGGAAAGGTTCCTTCCTCCGTGACTACCCATCATTCCCATGCTCGTTGAAGCGCCGTGTTATTCTAGGCACTCTAGCCGTGTGTTGCAAGTTGCAACTCCCTTAGACACTAGCGCCAGAGTTCCCTCTAGTAAGTATTGTGGGAAACTCTATGGTTTAGAGGAGGCGTTGGCATAAGGCACCCTACGCAAAGTTAGACTGCAGCGCTCTCACACTCCCCTAAAGCAAATCGCACCCGCCTCGAAAAGAGGAGTTAGAAAAATGAAAAAAAAAAAAAGTATCGATAAACGTTGGAGAAGGCTAGGTCCTCAGGAGCTTCGCCCCTAATTGTCACGTACGGGTGATAAAATTACTGAATAATTTTTGCTGGCAATCTACTTGCTGCGAAAAAGTATGAAATTCTACAAAAGTTGTTTTTTTTTTGTGTCGATTGTCATTGGCAACTGCATCATTAGCATCATCATCTTTATAGGTCGAAGGCTGTGTTGGTTTCGCTATGGAAGGCGTGTGGACGAATTTCAGTCAGGTGTTCTTGCTTTCACTGGTCACTTCAGCGCTTGTAGTTTTCCTTACAGTTGTTTTCGCCTACAGAACGTCGAAGTACGGCTGCTTTATAAGGCGAAAGAAAACGGTAAGGACTGTTGCGATTGCATGCAGTACCGGTGTCGCCGAACTGTGCGCCTGTGGCCCTTGTGTTTACGCTGGCGCGGTATATTTTGCGTTTGAACGTTACTATGTACAATCTAAGCCACAAGTGTCGAAAGAGATTCATTTCGTCAGCGTTCGAGGTTGTATTTGACATAATATGATGAGCATATCGTTGATGCATATTGCGATGAACTAAATTGAAAAGCGAAGTGAATGATTGATTTTGTTTTTGCATTTCTTGCACGTCTCCAACTACCCTTGAGTTCGAGCTTCTTTCGAATCATAAACATCGACCCTGCGCAATCAGTAAAAGGTATTTTCAGGTTATATGATTGTCGCGATCGATTGCAACATCGTTCAAAATATTGTTGGCAAAATAGAGAATGGGGGATAAAGAAATGTAATGAAAAATACCAAAAACCAGCACGCTTTTCTCCTACAAGAGAGTACGAAAACATGTGCGTCAGCAGCAGCATTTTTACTGCCTCTAACGTTCATAGACTCTCGCGATGGTTGAGATATAATGTGCATACATTTGTGCAGAAATGATCTACGAAAGCCATTTACAGCTTGTGAATGCATTCTTAAACTTTGAAAAACTTATAAACACAACGAAGGTTTTATTTTGCAAACCTACACCCACACTTGATTTTTATTGAGCACACAAAAAGCCGCGACTCATTGCTTGTTTGTGTAGCGTTGCTGGCTGTGAAAAATAAGTGGCTTGCAAATATGTGGGTCATGAATTTGTGGGAGATCACTGTACCACACGTGACAGTGCAAAACTGCTGCACATGGCAGTTGATAATATAATGTGTGCAGAACCAGAGTATAGGTACCATCATGACAAGTTTTTGAATATTTATTGTTTAAGTTTAGGTTAACAATAAGTAAATAAGTGTCATAAGTTAAAAATTACTGAAAGCTACAGCATGCCGGAAATATTGCTTACTAGATAATGGTCATGGTGGCTGTTGCATTTGTTGTTCTAGAAGGACTTTCAGAATTGTATGTTAGGGAAAGGCATTCTCTGCATACTGTGGGAGGGTGGCACTAAAAAATAGAGTGGGGAGGGGCCCATCTTCACAGTATTTCCTTTTCGAATCTCTGGAGCCATTGCTCTGCTCCTTTCACTTTGCAACCTAATTGAGTTGTATGCCCTCATCAACTCACGATAAAAAATTATGCTGTCTAATGGAACCCCTGATTTTGTGCAGGGAGTATTTGGGTTAAATGCCGTTTTCTTTATTCAGAATCTGCAGTTTCATTGTTTCTCTCTCTCATTTTGCTTTGGGGCTTTAATGCAAAGTTTGCAGTCATGAAAAGGGTGCCGAAGCTTCCTTCATATTGGATGTATCTTTGACGAGCTTTGCAGAAAAGAAAAACAAATTTTATTTAATCAATTTCTCCCTCAGGCCACATAAAGGCATTACAGAGGAGTACTTGAGGTTGCGACTTTGTTAAATTACAGAGGCGGTTGGGTTGTGCAAAAACAAACAAATGCAAAAAAATAGAACATATTACTGAAAATACATGTTCAAACATACTAAGCTATGACTGGCTGAAGATGCATTCGGTTAGTCCAGCTTTGAATGAAGTTGGTCTAATATGAGTGTCAAATTGTGTATTATATGTTGCAGTAGGAATCAAATTGTTCGGGTGAAATTGACTTCTAGAACCTATGGAAGGGAGTCAATTATTGTGAAGAATTTCAGTCGTGATCGGGCACAGTTGTGATTAAAAGGGTCCATATGCCAACCATTAACCAGCCACCTTGAGGTAGATGTAAATCTAAACACACATGCTGTAAAAAAAAATTGCTTTGTCAGTAATGTAATGTCAAGCACCACTTGCAGCTCCGAGTGGGCTTTTAGAAGCTTCTGCTTGTCTAGACCCATAAACAATAATTCAGTCAAAGTGCAGAGCTATGACAAGAAGTTTACAAATCCTGTGAACATTTTTGTGTTCAGTCTGCACAGTAATGATTGCAGAGCTGCTGTGATGTGGTATGGTGTCTAAGCATCTTACAGGACTATTTTGATAAAAATCAATAGTTTCGTAACTGGGAAATTTTATTTTCCTTGTGAAAAGCCCTAGCTGTAATTGAAACAGTCGTTGTGTATCAAAAACATGCTTTAGGAGTTCAATTGGGTTAGTCACAAACAAGGCTGTTTGCGGCAGACGAAAGCATTGGGACTCTTGTCTACTTCTGTCATAGTTTCTATTCTATTTATACCTATTGTTGCATGCAAATAAGATATGTGAAAACCTACTTCTAGTATATATTTAAAAGTGCAGAAATAACTGATCAGCCAGGAGCTGTGGCACAAGAAAGATTATGCTGTTTATATAGCAGGTTGTATCCGTAGTATTATCTGAAGGAACTGATTACTGAGAATGCATAGTAAAGAATGTTATGAGTGAATGCATATTGTTCTGATGTGGACTAGCTTCAATCTTGGCCAAGTTAATTTATTCTTGTATGTACACACTGCATTTAATTGTTTTTCATCTAACTTATTTCCATGAGACACTACAGAAGACGTTAAATTAACCCTTGGGGCTTTTCGTTGACTTCTGTGTGTGTAATAGCATCTACACTAAATAGGTGTTTTACGCAGCTAACCCCTCAAGCACTTTTTTTTTGCCAGAAGTAATGTTATTGTGATGTGTTTGTTGCGGCACACTTTGAAACTTCCATGATTTCATGCTTTGTGCATACCATTCTCAATTTTCTCTTTTGTAACTAATGTGTATGTATGCACCATAATTTGCACTAATACTACGAGTCAAGTGCAGCATTTAATTTTCCTTTTATTTTCTCGTTCACAATAAATTATTGTATGAGATAAAGCAAATTTGATTTTAAAAATGCGTTCTCTGAGCAACCATTTGTGCATAGGACACATACTAACTAAACACAGCCTCTGATCATAGAAGTTCTACCATTTATCTAGGAGAGCACAATAACTGCAAATTTCAAGTACTGACACTGTGCAACCATTTACATTTAGTAAAATAAAATGTAAGTGGATGTGCTTCATTAATCTAAAGCACTTTGTAAATAGGAATATCGCCACAGGTGAGCTTAGCTCAATCAAAGCAAAGTTTATGAGCAAAGTTCATACAATCGAACCCGGACAATCAAATCTGGAGGGGGTCACAGAAGAAGTTCCATGTACAGTAGAAACTCGATATAATGAAGTAATGGATACGCTTGAATTATTTAGCCAAATGGAAAAGTTCATAAAGTCAAAAAAGGAGATTTTTCAGTCTTTCAAATCTGAAATTCTTACGTACCAACACACAAAAGTTACCGTGGGACTTTCTTTGCCCTAGTGCATGCGTGTGTGTGTGAATCCGTGAGGACAACCATACACAGAGCTACCCATATCAGAATAATACTCTTATGACAACCCCGAAGGGCGTCTGTGCAGCAGGCGTTTGGTGTGTAGCGACACTACGGACCCGAGCTAATGGGGGGGTTTTGGCTCCCTCCCACGCGTAGCCGTGCATGGCTTTGCCGTGTCCGGGGAAAAGGGGATCCTGGGGGTTGAGCCAATGCTGGGTGATTGGACCTTTAAGGCCCGCCAGCGGCGGCAACACACCCCTTTGGCCCTGGCTTCACGTAGACGGCACCCCCGGATTGACCCGCCTGAGGGGAATCAGGTCTTTTCCTGTCTCCCCCTCACATCTTCGTCTTTTCTCTTACTTTAAATCTTTCCTGTCCTCTACTCTCTTCCATTGACTTCCATGTTTCCTGGCGGCAAGGGTTAACCCTGTGTGGCTATCCTACCCTGGATAAACCATATTTGGTTATAGTGGTGGCGTATAGCTGGCGTCTGCAGGGCCTGTGCTTACAAACCCTGCAGCGTCCCCTTATAGGACTCCATGGTGAGTGGCTGGCACCGCTGCCGAAAACAAATATTTACATATGGCTAGTTCCTTCCCCCCACTCCCTGATCGCCCTCAGAAAAGAAGGCGTACCGATGAAGTCTTCCAGTTTTTTGGTCACCAGAGAGTATCTTTTCCCCGATTCCACGTTATCCACGCTGACACACTTGGCAAACCAGTGCGAACACTTTCACCTTTTCTAGTTTTGAAGTCTTTAACGAAAATTTTTGGCCCAGGATATAAAGCATCGAGAATGGCAAGTGGTGGCCTCCTGTTGGAGCTCCGTGACCAGAAACAATATGAGAGACTGCCTAATCTAGTGAAATTTGGAGATACCATATTAATAGTAACCCCGCACCGAACCATTAACACCACCCGTGGCGTTGTTTCAGATGATGACCTGTTAGGGCTGACGGAGGCTGAACTCCTGGAGGGTTTCAGCGAACAGAATGTCATCAACCTGAAACGAATTAGGATGAGGCGTGATGGCAAAGAAGTCCAGACTAAGCACCTGATACTTTCAAGTCAAGTGTACTGCCTGACTCCATCGAGGCTGGGAACATGAGGCTTCGAGTGAGGCTATATATACCAAACCCTCTCCGATGTTTCAAATGCCAGCGGTTCGACCACAGTTCACAGAACTGCCGAGGCCGCCTAACTTGCTCGAAATGCAGTGCTGAAGAACACACAGCTGATGCCTGTGAAAACTCTCTTCACTGTGCGAACTGTAATGGGGAGCATGCCGTATACTCACGGTTATGCCCATGCTGGAAAAAAGATAAGGAAATTTTCACAATTAAAGTCAAACAAAACAATACATTTAAGGAGGCACGAAAGCAGGTGTCCTACTTACCAGAAACCAGCTTTGCTGAAGTGGTGCATCAGGGGGCAGCGCCACGACGGCCTCCGGCGGCTGTCTGGCACATGCATAGTGAGCTGGCGGTGACGCCATCCGCCCCCTCGGTGGTTGCAGCCAGTGCTGCTCCGCCATACAAGAAGGACCCACCAACCTCTGGGCTGGGGCCGCGAAGTTCTCGTCTTTTGTGGCGAGGCCCTCGAAACAAACGCAGCGCTCGCAAGAGCGCGTGT